AGAGAGAGAGAGAGAGAGAGAGAGAGAGAGAGAGAGAGAGAGGTCTTCTTGATCATGCTCAGAAAGGTAGCAAAGATGGAACAGAATGGAATATAACACAATAGGAAACACAGAGAGAGAGGGTTTCGGTCAAAAGAGAATACATGTATAGTAAATAGCCGAGGAGATGAAGAGGCCTTTCAGATGGATTCAATATAGCAAAAAAAAAAAGGATACAATCAAAGTAATCTTAATTAGATCAGGCTTACACTGAGGGGTGTTCTGCACGGGACACTGGGTAGTGCACGTGGAGCTGAGTTTGTTGACCACTCCGCTGATGTTCTCCACCCGCCTATCCACCATAGCCTGCACGTTGTCCATGTTGAGCAGACTGAGCCCCTCGAGGCGTCCCTGCACGGCCGAGATCTGGTTCCTAGCGTTGCGCAGGCTGGCTGACATCCTATTCAGCTTCACCTGGGAAGAGCCAGAGGAAGGAAATTGTTTTCTGTGCACAGAATACAAAGCAGGTGGATTACCCAAGTCGCCAGCCCCCCCACCCTTCATTGTTTTACCAGCCAATTTGAATTTTAGAATAGAAGCGCGTCTGCGTGATGGCTGGCCGTCTGCCAAAGTGTCTGTGAGAGTCAACGAACTTTGTGGCCATTTTGGCTGGCGTCTAACGCTGAAGCCCTGTTTACAGTACCAGTCATTTTCCCTGGTCGATTGGTGCCATGTAGGGCTTCACAGATCTTTTAACATCTTGCCAGTTTACATTCCAGCTGGGTACACTTGACTGGGCAAATTTAGGTGACTTTGTTCCTCCAGTGTTTATAAAGCACACTCTAGTGTAGTTTGTTTAGGTCAATGTCACTAAAACCTTCACAAGGCTGATAATGACACTGGCTTATGGGAAATTACATAGCCTTTGATGGAGATACAGAAATTGGTGCAGTGCCCCTATTGTTTGTGCATACCTCTAAATATTGTTTTTATGGCACAGATTGTCGACTGATTTTAAACCGTTTGAACAATGATTCAACTATTGATTATGTGAATTTAGATTAGGCTGAGAAAACTAACAATGTATTGACGGAAAGAATTTCTGAATGTACATAGTGCCGATATGCCCAGAGGTTTCATCTTTGCATTTAGTGTAAAAAAATGCCCTCATTCATAATGAAGTGCTGCATTTTCCAATTAAAAGTGTTAAAAAAGTGTCTCTTTTTTTTGTGAGACTGAACTGCGCCTCTTACCTGCATCTCCTGCATACTGCTCGGGCTCGGTGTAATTTTCCCAAAAATAGAACCATGCCCCACTCCAGCAACGTCCACAGTAGCTCCAGGGACCATCCCATCTCCCCTCTCCTCTTGGCTGGACCCACCTTGCACGTCCTGTCCTGCTAGGTCCAGTCTCACTTCTCCCTCAGCATCCTTCTGAATGGGGACCTGCGTCTGTCCCTGGTCAGCTTGCTGATTTCCAAAAGCTCCACTGCCCCGTGCCCCGCGGCACTCCTGGCACCCGCTTTTCAGCTTGTTGACAACCTCCTTCAGACTCTGCAGCTCCTTCATCGTCTTCTCCAGCAGCCTGAACTGCTTGGGCAGCTGGATGGTGAGGGGAGGCAGGGTGAGCTGGTAAGGGCAGTCCTCCCCCTCCTCTGCCCCGGCCCCAGAGCTCCCACACTGGCCCGAGGGTCTCAGTTTAATGGGGCAGGAGGTGGAGGTCCCAGTTTCAGATCCTGAAGAATAGGGTCCTCTCGCGTCCCACCTCTGGTGTGAGTTGATGGGCAAGTCCACTGCCTGGCTGATGCGCGGCACCAAGGTGGCTGTAAGCAGGAGGCTGGCACAAACGCAAAGCACAATTGTCCTCATTTCTTCTTCTTTTTTTTCCCCGTTTGAGATTTGTAAAAGGAGAAATAAATGTGTGTGAAGTGAAAGTGTCTGCAACTGCCTCTATGAACTCAAAGTGTCTGAATGCGTATAGTGGTGTATGTCTGTGCCCTGCGGCTGCAGATTGTAAGTGAAGGAGTATGTGAATGTATGTCCAGTGTCCTATTGGTAAAGAGTGTATGTGAGTATGAGCACAGCCTGTGGGAGGGAGAGTGCAGAGGAACTGCCGCTGCCTCAGATAGCTGTGTCATTAATATCAGGACGAGTGAGAGAGGGAGGGAGGGAGAGAGGCAGAGAGAGAGAGGGAGGGTGCTGAGTTGGAGAGGATGGGAGGGGCAGTACTATTGCGTAATGCAAAACACCATATCAGCAGCATTGTGGCATGTGGGAGAGAGAAAGAAATTGAGGAAGGGAGGGACGTCGAGAGAGCGAGAGAGAGAAGGTACTTTGCCTGCAGTCGGTGCATGGTGCCGTCCCGCCTCACTCTCGAGTCTGCTCATTTCCCTGAAGAGCGAAAATGACTCACAGTGCACAGGAACTATCCACTCAACAGATTTTTAACGCTATGTTGTTTTGTAACTTTGTATGTCCGCAGCACGAAAGTAAAGTCCTTGTCTCCTGACCCAGTTCAGATTCTAAAGCCTTGTTTAAAGTTCTCCAAAGTTAGGTGGGTACAAATAATGTCAAATCCATGGCCAACAGCAGCGATGAAGAGGGTTTGTTTCAATTACGACAAACGACCTGTTTTTCTGGACTTACGTAGACTGCATATGAGAATTTTAAAAAGTCTTTGTGATGTCACCCATTGGTTTTTGGACTCAATTTTTAAGCCTTAAGTTTTGATGGCCGCCATCTTGGTTTTTGGCCGTTGCCGTCTAAGTATTTTTGAGCTAGAAAGTGACACGAAAGGGTGAACCTCGGTGATGGTGGGAGACGAAAATGTTGCAATTACTCATGATTTATGAACTACACACTTCATGAACCGAAATCACGCTGTGAAAATGGTGAAAGTTCTCAAATAACTCCCAAACCAGACAACCCGTCAATCACAAGGTGGCCACGCCCTAAAGCATATTGTCTATTTGACTCTAAATGGGACCTTTATTTACTAAATGAACCTCGTGCTGTATTGAAGACTTTAAACTATCGATTGAGACCACAAATAAACTGAGGTAATGAATCAAGTGAGAAATAGGGTTTGCCTAATGACAGAGGAGTCGCCCCGTTATTACCATTTAAAAAGAATGCAAGTTTAAGACACGCCTGCATTGGCTTCACTTTTCAGACTCGAAGAGGTTGCTGCCTGTTTACAAGGCTTATGATATTTCAAATTAAGAAAGAGAAGCAACATAGACTTCACAATCGGTTTCGCCTGAATCCCAATCAACACTATTGAGCACCTGCCGGTACTCTGTCTTCATTTGATGTTTATTTTATCCTACGTAATACAGCTGCAGATGGCACAATTAACTCCGAATAGAGCTAAATCAATACAGATAAGATATGCTCTGATGGACACATCGTGCTTCAGAAGGAAAGCAAGCCCTACATCACATCGTATCTTTAATGGATCCTCTTTGTTTTGTCACAGTGTGATTTCCTGATTCAATACTTTCCCATGTTGTGTCAGGAAAATATGGATTTAATTTCGACAGCCTCTCTCCAATATCATATGAAAATACAAATAGTTATTTCAAACCAAAAGCAGGAAGGTACACCTGCAACATGTCCCTGAAATTAGATGCAAATGAGCCTCTCTTCTTTTTTAAACTCCAAATGGCTCTGCTCGCCTCACAGGTTGACAAAGTATCATCATTAATTGAAACTGCTGGCTGCTCTTTATTTTGTTCTGCTTAATGATTCTCTTGCATTTTGCACTGTGTGGAATAGGATTTTGCCTTTATATGATAGTACAACTGAAGACAAGAAAGAGAGGGGGGGGGCGTCATGCATCAAAGGGGTTTATACTGTTATATACATTTTATATAACTTGCCCAGGATATCCTTCAAAATGTCATTTTCCACACATGACAATTCTTATTTCACTTATTATACATGCATATCCAAAAAACTGGAATATTGAATTGTGATTTTACAGAAAGTGCCTTGCTCAAAGATACTTCAACATGGCAGATGTAGGCTGACAGGCAAGTTTGGACCCCGTCTCCTCGTCCTCGCCGCTCCATTCTGTGGCCCCAGCTGTTGTGTGAAGTTACACAATGGGTAACATTTACCAACGGGAGGAGCATTTATTAAAACTTTGAATTGATGTGATGTCCCCATTGACGGAACAGATAATAAAGAATAATGAATAAACAATACGCTTGTTTTTGGCTTTCGTGAGGCTGTGGTTCTGTGGTCATTTCTGGTGGTTTTTAGATAGACTTAATTGAAATTGCAGTCATACTCTCCCACAAACATTATTCATACCTAAGGCAATTTCATTGAGCATCTGAAATACATTATTAAGCAACACAAGCTATTCAAATAGTTTGTTCTGTATAGTGAACGATTCATTTTGGATCCTCAGTGACCTTTACAGTCTGGATGTTGCCCTACTTGGAGTAAAAATCCATAACTTGGCACTGATTATTTGTTTTTGGGACATGGCTATTGTTCCAGTACTTTGGATGTCTCATGCCCATGTCATATTTCTAGAGGAGTGACACAGTTTCGGATAATTGACTTCATCTACCGAAGTGGCTCTCAGCCCTGATGGGGGGGAACTCACCAGAAAGGAAAATATTACAGCACAAAACCTCTTCTAACAAAGAGATTCAATCTAGCTGTAGGCTTGATTCCAGTTCAAACAGCCAATATAAAGACATGAAGGTAGAGCTACACACAGAGCGGGATGATGGACCCTCTCTATCACACAGTGAATCCACTGCTGTGCCTCAGTTGTCATTATTTTTCCCCCTGATGGTGCGGAGTATTAAAGCCCACAGGTTGTTTTTGTTATACACTTCACATACCTGCAGCACCACACACTCTATTTTACTGGAAGGTTTATTGCCGCTCTGCAGTACAGATCACATGCTTGGGGGGTAGGAGGACAGGTATGCGTGTCCACGTGTGCCTGCATACATATCTTCCAGTGTTTGCCTCGATCGCACTTCACAGATGGTCTACCACATGTGAGCCTTATGCAGCCACTCAATAAAAGGAAAAGACCCCAATACTCTCTATACTGCTGAAGATAAGTCTTGGCAGCGTAATTAGAGACGCTGCCCGAAACAGCTTCAGGCTGCTTCCCTCGGATAAATGCCCGGTGTATGGCCATGCAGGATCCCTGTCGCAACACTGGTGTGTCCTCTACGTTGCATGAAAACACAACATATTTGATGAGTCATTCGGCCTCAAATTCAGTTTATTTTATTTCAGTGCGATGAGATAATTCCGCCCGTTCGCGTAATATGCTTTCTCAAAGACCGAATGTTAGATTGCACGACAAGTTGCAGTGAAAGACATCAATCCGGACCAGATGACCCACTTAAACCATTTCAAGACGCAACAGTGAGAGATCTAAGCACACTTCAGATGTTTGAAACACAGATCATGTAATACTTGTCAGGTGTTTTTGCTTGTGGTGGCGTGACCTTGCGGGCGACTGCTAATGCGAACTGACTGGGAAAAAAAACATCTGAGTAAATCATATTAACGAGAGCCCTAATCTGCATCATTCACCACAGTCGTATCTCCGTCCTTTCAGCCCTTGGAACGTGGTCGGCCACTTGTTAGAACGTTTGACAATAGCCAGATAAACAAAATAATTAAATTAATCTGAAAACATAATCGGCTATCCCTAAATGTTTGAAGTCTGGCTGAGTTATCAGCCCGCGTGTTTGTGTGTGTATAATCGGAGCTTGTGTGTGTTCATTGCCGTTAGATTACCTGCTACACAGTCTGACCTGAGATATCCTCAGTTCTGCAGCTCTTTGATACAGACGAGGCGATCCCTCATTTCTCCCCCATTCTACCAACCTGGCTCTGAAGATAAGAGGCAACAACACCGTTTCTATCACTGTTGACACACACACACAACTCCGTTGCCACAGAGAGACATTCTTAGTGATCATTTGCTGTTGACCTGATACCCTTTCTCTTTGCTGTGTTTTGTTTTACCAAGGTTTCACAGCTGTGTGTCCTTTCCTATCAACTTTTAAAAATCACCCGGGCCTAATGGGACCTGTAATCTAAAGAACTGTGGTTAGTTATCGTTAAGCATGGACCGTTCTCAATGATTTTTCTTCTCCTTTTTTGGAGATTGCAGATAGTCGGGGGTTTGTTTTTCATACAGATTGTGATCTGGTGTTCTGATGGTGTGATATCTGCCGCGATGATTAAAGGTTCATTCAGCCCAACTTGGGTCAAATCCTCTTCACAGACATCAGGGAGTTGATCTTTGTTATGGTCGATATCTGCCCGGCGAGATATATTCTTACGACGTAACTGAAGTTTGAGCAGATCACAACAGAAATAAAGCAACGTTTGTGTAAAAAAAGGTCTGACTATTGTGAAATTTTAAACTCTTTTTGAGTCTAGTGATTTAGTTTTCAACTTCTGGAACTTAATTTTCTCCCGAAAACAATATTACAAAAGTGCTTACTGGTCAGAGTTGTATCTGGTTAAAAGCAATATCGTCCTATTGCATATTCTGTGCAGAAAAAAAACAGAGAGATGCCCATAGAATGTGATGTTGTATTAATATCTTAGCTTTTATGCAGGCAACTCTGGGTCAGATCAAAGACTTTGAAATGGTGCAACCTGAGCTGGCACACCCATGCAGGAAGATTTGTTGCCAACCTAGCTGAATGAAGCCAAACTGTTTAGGACTGCTGTAATGTCTGGCTGGAGCTGGACTGTTCTGATGTGGATGATTGACAATCTGTTCAAAAAAAAAAGCCACAAATCTATTGCAGCAGGAAGATTTAGAAACGTTGGTAACACACTATCAACCATAAATAATCAATCATATTACATACTACCTGCTAATTCTTCTTTACGAACTGTTTTTCATGTCGAATGAATTGTAATATTTCTGTCTTCGTACTCCTCAGTTGTTGTCGTTGGGCAAAATCAGTCAGACCAAAGTAGCCAAACTGAAATCCAGCTACAGGCTCCTCCAAGACACTCTGAAGAGGTATGTTTTCATGTTAAAACACAAGTTCATTCGTCACCCTCATATGTGTGTGTGTGTGTGTCATACTTTGGAGGTGCGT